GAAAGAAAGAAAGAAAGAAAGAAAGAAAGAAAGAAAGAAAGAAGAAAGAAAGAAAGAAAGAAACCACCAACAACCTAGGTTTTCGTTCTCCCCGGCCCTGTCTCTGTCTTACCTCTGGCTCCCTGCGCCTCTCCTCTCCCCTCCCCTCCCGTCCCTCCTCCCTCTCTGGAGCACCAGTACCCTTGCTGGACAGAGCACTTTAGGAATCAGCTTATTGCTCTGCGTGTGTCCCCTTGTTCCCCCACAGGGCTGTGTGTGGAATGAACAGGATAAATGAGGGTGTGTGTGAAAGAGACTGCTCTCTCCCCTCCTCCCTTGCTCCCTGCCCCTTCTCTTCTGTTCCGAGGGCCAAGAAGTTCCAAGATTCCCTGCTTGGCTGGGTCCGGGCCATTTCTCTGGTTGATGTTGAGTGCATAGTATCAATCACATCTCTGCATCTGTGAAGTCTCGGATCTTCCCCAGAGTAGAGTGAGAGCAGCTAGTGGGACCTAAATATCTCCATCACACCGTCAACTCAGAAGGCCCGTCAGCAGCCCTGATTCGCCTAGAGGAGTGGCTTTCAGGCCTGATGGGTCTGATATTCTGCCTCCTGGCTCAGCAGGTCTGAAGACAACCTCCCTTCCTTCTGCCCCTACCCCCCCCCCCCACATTTACACCCTTGCCTCTTTCTTCTCTGAAAACTCTGGTGAGATGCACCCACAGGCCACCTGCCCCTGGCCATCCTTCATGCTCTGGTCTTCCTAAGACATTCTTGGGCCTGCGCTCTCCAAGCAGAAGCCTCCCTCTTGAACCTAAAGCTCTTTTGGTTGGAAAGTCACCTTCTTACATACTGGGCCCCTTCTGCCCTAACACCCTTCTGTCCAGTGAGATCATCTTCAAGGGTCCTCGCTCTGGCAGAGGTTCCAGAGAATCCCCCCACCCCCGAAGTTTCGTAGCTGATAGGCATTCATGCCAATTGAAAGGGCAAATGAGCCTCGAACCTGTGAGCCCTTTCTCAGGAGCCCCTTCCCCATCCCTGCTGGTGGAGACAGATGTGTGCAGGAGTCAGGCAACCAGGGTGACATGGACTGCAGGAGCTGGGGCACGGGAGGAGGTCCTGACCCAGTTTGGATCTGCCTTGAGGAGGTCCTGCTAGAGCAGAAAGGGCAAGGCTGGGAATTTGCAGGAAGCTGGGGAACTCCTTGATAGAATAGGCAGCCACTAATGGAGCCATGGCCTGGGGTGTTCAAGGTGGAATGAGGAGGGCTTGTTGAGAGGCGAGGAGGGAGAAGTCAGGCTTCACAGGGCTGAGAGTGGCAGGCAAAGAGTTTTGACGTTATTCCCAAAGCAGCGGGGAGCCCTTGCTCGGTCTGAAGCCAGTGTGGACTGTCCATGAAGAAAGCCTTTCTGGGGGTATGGAGGACCTGGGCAGAGGAGGTGACGGCCTGGGTGTGTTTCCAGGCCACAGCCTCATTTAGCAGCAACCACAGCTGGCCAAGGCCCAGACTGAGGTCCTGCAGACCAGCCCACAGGCCTGGGCTAGGCAGACGGTGCAGCCAATGTGGCTGCCGACGCTGGGCAAGGGGTTCGGAAGGAGAAGCCTGACTCATCAGTGTCCCCAGGGCCCAGCCCAGAGATGGGGCAGAGCAGGCGCCAGTGAAAGTGTCTTGTGGAGTGAAAGTAGCTTTACAGACGCTTCCAGCAGCCCGACTGGAGGTATTTCTTCCTGCCTGCACATCCTCGGACCTGAAAATAAGGAAGTGTGAGGCTCCAGCGAGCTCCTGAAGACACAGGGCACAGCTGTAAGGGGTTTGGGAGACACTGGGGAAAAGTTTCCCCAGGACTTTTCCGTCTCAGATTCCTCATCTTTAAGTCAAGGTGCCGGGCTGAGGAAGGAATGACAAGCAAGGGAAACCGGCTGGAACTGGCTAGACTGCTAGTAGCCTGTATACTGGGGACTAGTACGGCCATTAACCTTTCACTATGTATGCTGGTGGGGAGATACCAGGTCCTCCTCCCTCCTATCTCCACCAGTGAAAGAGGATAGATCTTGTTACCCCATTTCATCAGAGGGGCAGCTCCAACACACTGACTCTAATTCCCAAGGACCTGATGAGTCAAATGGTGGAGGGGCGCCAAGAAGCCCCTGTTTCTCTGGATGGATCTGGCATCCCTGGTCCCCACTGAGGCCTGTCGGATTGCCTAGAACCCTTGACGGGTGGACGCAGAGGCGAAGAGCAGGAAGAAGTGCCAGGCACTCCACGTGCTGAAAGGCCCAGCCGGCGGGGACTAGAGATGGCAAGTTCCTCCTAGGTTCGGGAGCTAAACAAATAAATCCGCACATCTGACCCGTCCTGACTGAAACTTCAGGCTAAGCCTAGCGCCGTCCGGTTATCTTCCCAGAAAGCCAGGTGTCCAGGAACCTCAAGACCCAGGCTGCGCAACAATGCCGATGCTGATGGCGTTAGTAAAACCTGCGCTGGGAGCTCCGCACGCCACTCAGGGGAAATCCCTACCGTTCCAGGCCCCTAGCCCCGCCGCCCAGCCTGGCGGAGCAGCTTTCTGGAGTCGCAGCGCCAGCTGCCTCCGGGATCAGGTGCAAACCCGAGGTTTCGCGCCTGCAGGCATGCATATTTCCCTAATGCACGGTGGACTGGGTACTTTGTTCCCGAGCCTGAATCCAGAATTCGCAGGCAAAAGAGCGAGTTCTGCTGCCCAGGGTCCAACTTAGCAAGCGATGCGTCATTATATAGCAGTCAGCTCTAAATGCATCACAGGCAAGGAAACTGGAAGCTGAACTGCGCAAACTCCGGGCACTACCTAATCTACTTACAAGAAGAATCGAGTTGTTTGACAAGCGGTGGCTCGTTGGTCTAGGGGTATGATTCTCGCTTAGGGTGCGAGAGGTCCCGGGTTCAAATCCCGGACGAGCCCTTCTTTTGTCTTGCTCTGGTTTCTAAGTACCTCATTACATGAAAGAATTCTCCAGAAAAATGGCTGACATGCTCACTCGTTTTTAATCCGCGTTTCGACCTCTTCAAATTGTATTGGGTTTCTTTATGTGTTCTCTAGATCTTTACAGCAAACTACAGACGGAGAACAGGAAAAAATTTGGAAAAGTGGGGCTCGTCCGGGATTTGAACCCGGGACCTCTCGGACCCAAACCGAGAATCATACCCCTAG